TTTATTTTTTTTTTTTATTTTAAAATTTCAAATACTTTCTAAGAGGCAGCATTAGAGTTTGAACCCAGATCTCCTCTGTCTCCAGAGCCAAACCTGAAGTCTTGCAGGGTTGAGCATCTCTCATTCTCTAGAACTGCACTGTGTGGCACTGGGTGAGTTGTTAAACCTTGTACAATTGGCTAAATTTCCCTTGCCCTGGGTACATACTTGTGTGATTTCTAACAGCTCATCAACTCAAGACAAGGGTTCCTAATAATTATTTTCCAAAATCCTATGTGTCCCTAAACCTGGTCTTCTCCAGTGTTCAGATTTCTAACCCCACACCCCTTACCTTCTTTCTGACTCCCGACCTCAGCGGCCAGGCATGAAGGCCCTGGAGTCTCCTGCACAGGTCCATAGGTGAGGGGAGGGACCAACTGGGGGCAAGTGGTGATGGCTGGAGAGAGAGTTCTCTAGGCTTTGTCGGCGGACACCTGAGAGGCAAAGCACTCAGCTAGAACGGTGGGATTGGGGAAGGAAACTGAGTGAGAGCGAGGCTTAACCATCTCCCAGTTTGGGAGTCTTAGGCCTCAGTGTCCCTATCTGTAAAATGCAAATAATAAGTTCAAATAGTTTATTTAGTTGTGGGGAGTGACATGATAATGTGGGAAGAAACATGGAGCCCCATCCGCAGTCTATCCCTGCAAAGATAAAACAACATGAACCATTTGGAATTTTTACACACAGATGATAAAAAAAAAAACCCAATCTGAACTTAAGAAAAATTGAATGTGTCAAGTGCAGTAACTGAAAGGATTATGAGGAGCTCCATTTTCTGACCTGGCTTCATCTAGGGTGAGCCCATGATCTCCCCAGAACTTGGTTTCTCTCCCCCTATATCTCATTTCCAATTTGTCTTGTCTGGCTATGTCTTCAGACCTGCTCTCCATTGATAAAGATGAGATGTCTGCTGCAACAATACACCTGCTCCAGAGGTCAAAAAGAGTTTCCCTGGCAGGTTCAGCATAAGTCCTGGAAGTCACTTTGATTTCCTCCCTGCTTTTTTATTATTTTCTTTCTTCAGTTTACTTTGAATTTAATTTGCTCTTCTTTTTCTAGTTCCCTAAGGTAGCAGCTGAAGTCATTGATTTGAGACATTTCTTCTTTTCTAATATAAATTTTTGGTGCTATAAATTTTCCTCAAAGTACTGTCTTAGGGACATCCCACAAATGTTGATATGCTGTTCTGTTCGTTCATTTACATTCAGTTCAATATACTTTCTAATTTCCCTTTTGTTTTTCTTTGATCCACAGGTAATCTTACAAATGTGTTTTTTGTTTGTTTATTTGTTTTTGTTTTGTTTTGTTCTGAGATGCAGTCTAGCTCTGTCACCCAGGCTGGAGTGCAGTGGGGAGATCTCAGCTCACTGCAAGCTCCACTTCCCAGGATCATGCCATTCTCCTGCCTCAGCCTCCCAAGTAGCTGGGACTACAGGTGCATGCCACCATGCCCAGCTAATTTATTTTTTATTATACTTTAAGTTCTAGGGTACATGTGTACAACATGCAGGTTTGTTATATATGAATACATGTGCCATGTTGGTGTGCTGCACCCATTACCTCGTCATTTACATTAGGTATATCTCCTAATGCTATCCTTCCCCCCTACCGCCTCCCCACAATAGGCGGTGTGTGATATTCCCCTTCCTGTGTCCAAGTGATCTCATTGTTCAATTCCCACCTATGAGTGAGAACATGCAGTATTTGGTTTTCTGTTATTGCGATAGTTTGCTGAGAATGATGGTTTCCAGCTGCATCCATGTCCCTACAAAGGACACGAACTCATCCTTTTTTATGGCTGCAAGTATTCCATGGTGTATATGCGCCACATTTTCTTAATCCAGTCTGTCACTGATGGACATTTGGGTTGATTCCAAGTCTTTGCTATTGTGAATAGTGCCGCAATAAACATACGTGTGCATGTGTCTTTATAGCATACCCAGCTAATTTTTTTGTATTTTCAGTAGAGACAGGGTTTCACCATGTTAGCCAGGATGGTCTCAATCTCTTGACCTTGTGATCCGCCCACCTCGGCCTCCCAAAGTGCTGGGATTACAGGTGTGACCCCCTGCGCCTGGCCTACAAATGTGTTTTTAACTTTCAAACTTGGTGGAGTTTACAGGGAAAGTTCTTATTTTCATTTCTAATTTAATTCCATTATGGGAGAACATAGTTTGACAACTTAAATCCTTTTAAATTTATTGAGATTATTTTATGGCCAAGAATGAGGTTTGTTTTGATAAATATTTAATGTGCACTTGAAAATAATGTATATTTTTTCTGTTGTTGGAAACAGTGGTCTATGAATATCAATTAGGTGGAGTTTTTTAATAGTGTTATGCAAGTTTTCTGAGCCTTAACAATTTTCTGTTCACTTTTTAAAAATCAATTATTGAGAGAAGAATATCAAAATATCTGAGTATACTTATGGATTTGTCTATTTCTCCTTACGGTTTTATTAGTTTTTGTTACATGTACTTTGAAACTCTGCAATTGGGGGCATAAAAGCTTAGGATTCTTATGTCTTCTTGATGAATTAACCACTTTATCATTAGGAAATGTCCTTCTTTATCCCTGGTTATGTTGTATGCTCTGAGATCTATTTCTTCTGATGTTAATATGACCACTCCAGCTTTGTTTTGATATTAGCATCACATATCATTTTCAATCCCTTCTACTTTTAAGTTATTTGTTTCTTTATATTCAAAGTGCATTTTATAGACAACATACAGTTGGATCTTACCTGTTTAATCAATATGACAATCTCTGCCTTTTAATTCAAGTAATTAGACCATTTATATTTAATGTAATTATTAGTATAGTTAGATTTAAGTCTCTTGTCATTTGTTTTCTATGCTTCTCAACTGTTCTTTGTTCTCTTTTTTCTTTTTCTGCCATCTTTTAGTTCGAGTTTTGTGTGTGCATGTGATTCCATTCTATCTTCTTTATTAACTTATTAGAGCCATCTCCTTGTTTTGTTATATTAGTGGTTTGTTTTATGGTTTATAGTATACATTTTCAACCTATCACAGCCTACCTTCAAGTGACTTCATACTACTTCATACTATATCCTACTATGATAATATGACATAGTATCATATAGTATGAGAATTTTACAACGTATACATTCTTTTCTCCCTTCCTGGCCTCTGTGCTATGTTTTCTGATACATTTTACTTCTACATTTGTTATAAATCCCACAATCCATTGTCATTGCTTTTAATTTATAATGAGATAATTATCTTCTAAAGATCTTCTAAATAATCAGATAAAAAACCTTTTACTATTTACCCATGTCGTTACTATTTCCTGTGATTTTCATTCTTTGTGTAAATCCATATCTTCATCTGGCATTATTTCCTTCTGCCTGAAGGATTCCCTTTAACATTTCTCATAATGTAGAATGAATTTGCCAAGAACCTGTTATTCAAGGCTTTTGCACCCAGACTCCCAACACCACAATTTCCCAGGAATTATGCCCTCCAAAAAATCAAAGTGAACCAACATTTCCTGTCAACCTTGTGTGGAAACAATGTATAAATACCACAGAGCCACTAGCCACATACTCTTTAGTCTAGTATTCAAGGTCCTTCTAGACCTGCTCCTGACCATTCCTCAACCCACCTCTCATATGCTTACTTACAGAAACTCTCTGCCATTTTCTGCCTCCATCCTTTGGCACACACTGTGCTTTTGTTTTTCTAAACATGTCTTTCCTCAGGTCATCCAATGAGCAAACTCCTATTCATCCATCAAAAGCCCAAGTAGGAGCCACAATCTCTGGAAAATACCCCCTGCCCTCTACCAATCCCTGTAGAGTAAATCTTTTTCCTTCTACTGCTTCTGACTATGTAACTTCTTATACAGGAGTCATTATCAATTAGATTGTAATTTATTTATTTCAATAAATGTCTCTCCCATGCACAGGTATAGAATGCTGTAAGGAGGCCAGTACAGGCCTTGTCCAAGGCTTAAGCCATTAGCTCACACTGGAACACCATCACTTCCAACTCTAGTAAATTGGGGGGCTGGGGAAGCAGCCAAGCATGTGCCCCATCACTCCCCTGGCTTGAAGTTTATACCCCTTTGAGATGCAACACTCCCCAAGGGCAGAGACTAGAACCTCATCTTCTTTGTCTCAGTGGTGTCATTGCCAGCAGAGGGTGGCATTTAGCAGGTGTTCAGGAACCAGGAGATAAAGTGTATCATGGTGCCAGGAAGGGGAAATTTTCTCTGCTTCTGTGTGAAACTCACCCCTACTCTGGTAATTAGAGGATGAACACCTCAGAGAGCATGAGGACAAGACCCCTTGGCATGGACACTGCCATCCTCATCCCTGCTGGGGCACCACTGATAGGGCACCTCCAGGCACCTCTGAAGGCTCCTTGAGTAGAGATCACCGAAACAGCCAGGGGGAGGACAGCATAGCCTCCACCTGATGACTGTAGCTGGTGGGTTGGTTTGTGAACCCAAGTGAAACACCCCAGGAACTCCCAGCCAGGTGCTTTGTAAGGGATGGCTGTTCCCTTGAGTACAGGAAGACCTTAAGGCTGTGCAGACCAGCCTTCCTGTGACCTGCTGCATTTCCATGCACAGGCTGTTGAGATCACTAGCTACAGCAGACCCCCAGCTGGGTGCACATGTTCCCTTGTGTGCCCCTCCCAAAATGCCTCTGCAGCCCAGAATCAGGGACTAACTCAGGAAGAAAACCTGGCCCATTCTGGTCCCTATCACATCTCCAACCCTGGAGCTATCAGAGTCTGTGATGAGCACAACAGCAGCTGGGTCCTGGGCTGTTTGCACAGAAACATGCTGCACCCCACCTACTCAGATCTGTGCTGGGGACATGAAGAGTTCGGCTCACTTGATCTTTTTCTTCTAAGAAATCAGTGTGTTTTTGCTGGAGCCGAGCAGTGTGAAAAGTACAATGTGTGCAGGTGTCAGAGGCATAAAAACCAACCTCAGATTCTGCAGGTTTTATTTGTCTCACCCACGGTCACCTGCTGCCCCTCTCCTCCAGGGTCACCAGGGACTGGCCATGCACAAAGCCCTGTGCTTCAATCCCCAGCACAAACAAAGGAACAGTGTTTTCCTTTATTTTCTTTGTTTTTTCCTCCTCTTTCTCTTCCTATTTCCTTCATCCTCCCTTGCTGCCTGTAATCTCTGAGAACAGAAAAACACAATCTCAGAATGGTGTTGCCTTCCTCTAAGCAGAGCCTAATTCCTTTATCACAGAGCTCAGAGATGGAGATTTCCAAAGGAGACAGATAAGAAAGATACTGACCATAATTAACATTTCTCTGCTTTGTGGAAAACAGGAATTATTCCAGGGTGTGGGTTTCTTTTTAAGGAGCTTCAACATGGGAGACACTGAGAGGCCAGCCATGGATTAGCAGATACCTCAGGAGGAACAGCAAGAATTCAGAGGAAAGGAGGGACGCCAAGCTGAGAGATGAGAGGATGAGCCTTGAGGCAGGATGGAGGGGACCTCCTGACAGGGGAAGGAGCCCTGGATTCCCTCTACCAGGACAACAGGATGTTCTGGGCATCAAAGGAAAGGAGGGAGGGAAGGTGGCACCTGGATCAATTCTGCCAACTTCTCAAAACTGTTCCTAGTTTCAAACCTCTCCGAATCTTCTGTCCATACCCAACCCCATCATGCTGTGTTCGTGATAGTCTTCTGAATCCCAGAAAGTTGGAAAGTGGTGAGAGAGGATACTTGGTGGCCAGAGTGGAGGGCACTCTGGGGAAGAATCAGGCAATAAGGGCGGGGCTGGGCAGACCCAGTAAGAAGCTGTGATAGTCCTTGGGTGAGCGATGGTGGTGGCCTGGAGGGGAGAAGGAGACAAATCCGTTACAAGGCAGCGGTGGAATCAGCGAGACTTGGTGGCCATGGCCATGTGGAATGAGACTCATGAGAAATACGCATGTGGCAAGGCCCACATCTAAACATGAACTGGGTTCCAAAGCTGGTGTTTCTGAGGCAGAATTGACAGCCTTCAGGGACAGCGCAGACATGGAGAGGGCTGGGAGCAGAAGAGGAAAGATGTCAGAATTTTACATCCCACTCTCCTCCTGTACATGCCGTCTGGGGCCTTTTCCACCCTGACGTGATTCACCCAGTGTCCTAATGGCCAACCCATCCCTCCCCAGCCACTTGAAAGAACACGGAACTTGGAGTTCGGGAGAAGGACAGAAATATTTTTTAAATACCATCAAGAACATAGTCCGGCTGGGCGCAGTGGCTCACACCTGTAATCCCAGCACTTTGGGAGGCTGAGGCAGGTGGATCACTTGATGTCAGGAGTTTCAGACCAGCCTGGCCAACATAGTGAAATCCCGTCTCTACTAAAAATACAAAAATTAGCTGGGCATGGTGACACACACCTGTAATCCCAGCTACTTGGGAGACTGAGGCAGCAGAATCACTTGAATCCAGAAGGCAGAGATTGCAGTGAGCTGAGATCACGCCACTGCACTCAGCCTGGGCGACGAAAGTGAAACTCCATCTAAAAAAAAAAAAAAAGAACATAGGCCCAGCTTCATGCACATGTGACCTGTGCAGCCACGCAGGGCCCTGCACTCAGAAGACCTTAGGTTTGGTTTAATGCTCTGTTGTTGCTGTCTTGAAATTCTTAATAACTTTATCTCTGAACTTGTGTTTTGTAAGTGAAGTCCAGTGGAGTATACACAAGTGAGCAGAGGAGATCCACGCTGTATGTGTCTGCTGTTTCTTGCTGCCCATCTGCATAGAACACTCACAATCCCCTGTGAACTGAGAATTCTAGGCATGTATGAGGTCAGCGAGATGCAAAGTGAGCACAAGACAGGAGTGTTATGTCTGTGGCCAAGTGAGTGGGGGTGAGTGGGGGTGAGTGAGTGGAGCTGAGTGGGGGTGAGTGGGGGTGAGTGGGGGTGAGTGGGGGTAGAGTGGGGGGTGAGTGGGGGTGAGTGGGGGTGAGTGGAGGGTGAGTGAGTGGGGGTGAGTGGGGGTGAGTGGGGGGTGAGTGGGGGTGAGTGGGGGTGAGTGGGGAGTGAGTGGGGGTGAGTGGGGGTGAGTGGGAGTGAGTGGAGCTGAGTGGGGATGAGTGAGTGGGGGTGAGTGGGGGTGAGTGGGGGTGGGTGAGTGGGGGTGAGTGGGGATGAGTGAGTGGGGGTGACTGGGGGTGAGTGGAGCTGAGTGGGGGTGAGTGGGGGTGAGTGGGGTGAGTGGGGGTAGTGGGGGTGAGTGGGGTTAGTGGTGGTGAGTGGGGTTGAGTGAGTGGGGGTGAGTGGGGGTGAGTGGGGTGAGTGGGGGTGAGTGGGGCTGAGTGAGTGGGGGTGAGTGGGGGGTGAGTGGGGGTGAGTGGGGGTGAGTGGGGGTGAGTGGGGGTGAGTGGGGGTGAGTGGGGGTGAGTGAGTGGGGGTGAGTGGGGGTGAGTGGGGGTGATGGGGGTGACGGGGTGAGTGAGTGGGGGTGAGTGGGGATGAGTGGGGGTGAGTGGAGCTGAGTGCAGGTGAGTGAGTGGGGGTGAGTGCAGCTGAGTGGGGGTGAGTGGGTGGGGGTGAGTGAGTGAGGGTGAGTGGGGCTGAGTGGGGGTGAGTGGGGGTGAGTGGGGGTGAGAGGGGGTGAGTGAGTGGGGGAGTGGGGGGGAGTGGGGGTGAGTGGGGGTGAGTGGAGGAGAGTGGGGGTGAGTGGGGGTGAGTGGGGTTGATTGGGGGTGAGTGGGGTTGAGTGGGGGTGAGTGAGGGGCTGAGTGGGGGTGAGTGAGGGGGTGAGTGGGGGTGAGTGGGGGTGAGTGAGGGTGAGTGGAGGTGAGTGGGGGTGAGTGAGGGTGAGTGGGGGTGAGTGAGGGTGAGTGGGGGTGAGTGGGGGTGAGTGGGAGTGAGTGGAACTGAGTGGCGGTGAGTGAGTGGGGGTGAGTGGGGGTGATTGGGGGTGAGTGGGTTTGAGTGGGGGTGAGTGAGTGGGGGTGAGTGAGTGGGAGTGAGTGAAGCTGAGTGGGGGTGAATGAGTGGGGGTGAGTGAGTGGGGGTGTGTGAGTGAGGGTGAGTGGGGGTGAGTGGGGGTGAGTGGGGCTGAGTGGGGGTGCTGACAGCAGCCCCTGAAAGGCCACAATTCCTGTTTGAACCAGAATGATCTTCAAACACAGAAAGAGGCAAGGGTGTTCTAAGAAATATAAATGACCGAGAATCTTATCATGTCCTTTCTTACCTGCCTTACTGCCCTGCACTAACCAACTACTTGCACTGCAAATGATGATGGAGACAAAGGAAAAGACAAGGCAACTCATGGTTTCTTTTCCTTCCAATCTTTCCTTACTCAGTCGTGATCCAAAGGTAGAGCGTGTTGGCAGAATGTGCACATCAAGAAGTGAAATAAAAGCACTTAATTTTGTGGAGAATTTCCACCCTTCTGATAAGAATGAAGTATCTGTGCATGAATGACCTATGAGATACAAGTTGTATAATTTCAGTGATTCTGTTTGTCGTCGAATGCTCCTATAATTTGCATTTCAAACTGGCACTGCATAACATAAAACTGAATGGTAAAGTTTGTGCTAATAATTTAAAGTTCTAAATTTTTACCTAGAACAACATTAAATAGCAAATAAAAAATAGCATGGCAAAGGAGAGACTTCGGCAGAAAAGAAAAAAACTTTATATTAAGGTATATGTCATGGCATTTCTTGTTCCCCGCTTTTTAAACAAGGGCATCACATATCAGTTTTTCACTGGGCCCTACAAATTATGTAACCGGTCCTGCAGGGAAACGTCAATGCACTTCTCCAGGGCAGGGAGGCCGTGTCCATGTTATGTAACTCCTCAGTAGCAGGATGTGCTAATTAAGAAGGGAACTTCGGGACATAGTGCTGGCGGAAGTTTTAATTACCTCTCTTCTGAAGGTTCGGAGAAGGTGCGGGGGTGGGGGTGGGAATCCTGCAGGAGAGCGGAGTCCAGGCCCCTCAGAGGTGGAGGTGAGGATGGAGGGAAGTACGGAGGGAGGAGGGGAGGCTGAGGTCACCCAGCTCGCGCCCTTGCCTGCGCCATCACTGTGCCTGAGCCCTCACACGTGTCACAAGCCTGAGGGATGTGGACTGTCACCCCTTTGACAGATGAGGACACTAGGGCCTGAGTGGTGAGGAGACTGGTCCAGGTCCCATGGCCAGGGAGGGCAGAGCTATGGGGTCACCACATGGGAACAGAGATGTCGTCACTGCCCTCCAGACCCCCAGTCCAGGGGAGACAGATGATGGCAGTACCGTGGGATCTGATGGGGGAGGCACAGGCTATGTGGGAGCCACAGGGGCCCCTAATCCAACCTGGGGGGTCAGGGAGCTCCCCAAGGAAGTACTATCTACGCTGGGGCCTGCAGGAGAGTAGGGGCATAGATAAATATAAACATAGACATAAATCCTCCTCCTGCCATTTAATGAGTACCTGGGTTGATGGGAGCAGCACACCCCCGGCCCTCACACACAGTAGGTGCTCAGTAAACCTCAATGTTAACCTCTCCTGACAAAGACCTGCAAACTCTGTAAGTTGCATCCAATACAGACTCAATGATGAAAGAAGCTCCTGCATGAATCCTTGATCAGAGCAGCCTCGGGTCCCCAGCCCCACTCTTCAGAGGTCCCAGCAGGGCCTGAGGCCCACCTCAGCCTAGGTCTCCTGACATAATTTGTGTGGTTTTTGCACAGACACACTTTACATCCATTATTTAGAATAAATCTTCCAGGTTGTTCAAATTTCAAATAAAAAATTCTCCCCCAGAGGAATGGCTGCACTCAGCAAAGGTCGCACATAAAACACACCGAACTGGACGGGAAAGGAGGCGAGGACTGGATTAAGCAGCAGTTACCATTCATTAGGGGAAACCACAGCGTCTCCTTTCAAGGAGCACTTGCTCTGCCAGGGCTGCAAAGCCGAAGTGACTGCACTCTCCTCCCCGCCAGCTCAGAAATGCGTAATTTAGGAGCTCCGAGAGGCGCTGCTTCTTATGGCAAGTTGTATTTCCTGAGCGCTGCTTCCTCAGGCCCACCAGAGCCCTGCACGGTGAGAAGACGATCATTACTCCCACTGCAGGGATGGAGACACGCAAGCTGAGAAGTGCAGGGACTCACCCAGGATCACACACAGCAGGAAGGGGTGGGCTGGGCTTTGAACCCGGGTGTCTCTGGCTCTAAGGCTCCTTCTCCTTGTCCCCCACTCTCCTGCTCCCAGGGAATGCTGGAAGATTACAGCAGGAAACGTGAACAGAGAAATCAGCCCAATCCAGGCAGACACTCCCCAGGCTTTAGGTTCAACCCACTCCTCTGCTTATTTACATATATTTGCATGCCAAGGCTCCGGAGACCTCAAGTATAGGCAATAAATTTGATTAATTACTGCAACCAACCAGTGGGCACTTAGCTGCAGGATACACTCCATCAAGGTAAAAAATGGAACAGATTCTGAAAATGATCTGCTTCATCACCTCCCAGTTCAGTAGAGTTGACACTAAACCAGGCTCAATCCCTGCCACCATTAGCACCTTCCAGTCATGAGTGAGAGGCTCAAGGAGAAAGACCTCCCAAGCTCAGTTTTCTGGGAGAACAAATTAGATACAAATATAGATGGCATAGGCCAGGCACAGTGGCTGACGACTGTAATCCCAGCACTTTGGGAGGCCGAGGCTGGTGGATCACCTGAGGTCAGGAGTTCGAGACCAGCCTGGCCAGCCTGGTAAAACCCCTTCTCTACTAAAAATAGCAAAAAAAAATATATATATATATATTAGCCATGTGTGGTGGCAGGTGCCTGTAATCCCACCTAGGAGGCTTAGGCAGAAGAATCACTTGAACCCAGGAGGTGAAGCTTGCAGTGAGCCAAGATCGCACAGCAGCCTAGGTGACAGTGAGACTCTGTCTCAAAAAAAATAAATAAATATACATATATATATATATATATATATATATATAGAGAGAGAGAGAGAGAGAGAGAGAGAGAGAGGAGAGATGGCATAGATAGATATAGACACAGGCACAGACCTAGACACAGACATAGATATAGATACAACAAGGGCTATGAGAAGCAGGATGGATAACCACCTCTGATCCCTGCGAAATGGCCAGAGGCAGAGCCTTCTCCCAGCCCAGAGCCACAAGGAGGCTCAGACAACTCCCCACGCCCAGAGGTGAAAGAACTTCCTGGGCAGAGTGAGGACAGGTGATCTGGCCCAGGTTACACAGACACCTCTGAGAGGTGGCAGGCTCCCCTTGGGTGGGCAGCTCTGGACTCCCCCAGGGTCCACCCATTAATGCCCTGCCCCTGAGTGACCTGGGAGGAGGAAGCTGGGTGGGGACTTGGGGGACTTGAGGCCTAAATGAAGTCACACTGGATTCTTTAAACTGCCCAGCCCCCTTCATGGGCACAGGAGGGATACTGGCAGCTCACAGCAGAGGCCAG